ATAAGAACCCAAAATATAACTAAAGACTACTACTTGAGTCAGATGCTCTGAGAGAAGAGACAATGGAAAAATAAAAAGAATGAAAAGAAAGCAAGCATATGCTCTGAAAACCCAGTTTATACCCATTATCAGGTGTACACAGAGGTGGTTCCAACTGGCCGACACCACCAGCAGGGCTGCTGCAGCATTTGGGGTGGGAATCCTACCAAACTAAAAGGGTTCTCTGGCCACTTGTCCTACTGAGAAGGCTGTGCACCAGTCATCACTGTTCATTAAGTGGGGAGAACCTGGACGAGAATGTTCTGCCCCTGGAAAAATGCTTCAAAAGCTTGGTTTTATGTCTGAGCGATTTTTCGGCAAGAGCCAGACTCGGGTGCCAGAAAGGCAGAGGGGAATCACTCCATGCTACTTCAGCCCAGGCAACAAAGATGTAAATAATCATCAGAGAAATGCACTGACCTCAAGATCTTTCCAATTAACTTCAATAATCCTTCGTTCAGCAAACAACCCAACAGGCACTCGAGCCCAAGCTGTGAGCAAGGGAATCTCAGTCTGCCTTGCATGTGAACTTCTCTCTCACATCCTGCCTTCTATGGAAGGCGCTTCTCTGACTGTAACCTCACGTTCAGGTCCAGCTCCTTATAGCGGACAGTAGTGATGGATGTACGATACATGAAGACAAGAACAATGTCTGCCTGCAGGGATGAGGAAGGTTTCATGGAGGACCCCAAAGGGCAACGGGGATTCAGCAGATGGAAGGGATGGGGGTGCACAGGAATGAGCTCATCACCAGAAGATCTGAAGGTTGGGATGTTTGGGGAAGTGGCGGCGAAGATGAAAACATAGGTAGGAGAGTAATGAGAGATGAGGCAGGCTGAAATCAGAGACACCTTGATCCACAACCACAGGAAGAAGCCTGACCTTTAACCACAGACGACGAGGTAGGAAGCCACCAGAGGATTTCAGCCTGCAGGGGAAGGACATGTTCCTGATGAACCCTTTCTGATTCAGAACTAATTTAAATTGTTCCCGAACCCCTTCACATTTGGCTTTTAACTTCTATAACCGAAATACTGATGACAAGATGATCTAGGTTCTAAATAACTTTTAACTCCATTATCAATTCTGACTCAATAATGTGTAAACTGGATGTCACCAAAATTAAAAACGTTTGTGCTTCAAAGGACACCATCAAGGAAAGTGAAAAGGCAACTCAGAGAATTGAAGAAAAAATTTTGCAAATCATACATCTAATAAGGTACTCTATAATAAAAAATATGTAAATAACTCATAATAAAAACATAATCCAATTTAAAAATAAGAAAAGCATCTGAATAGAGATTTTTCTCAAGAAAACATACAATAATTGTCTGCTAATTACTTCAGGAGATGCTGGACGGCCTTAGCCATCAGAAATTGCAAATCAAAAGCAAAGGGAGATACTGCTTCACATGCACCAGGACGGCTAGAGTCAAAAAGTAAGAATAGCTAGTGTGACAAGGATGTGGAGAAACTGAAACCTTTATACACTGCTGGTGGAATTGTAAAATGATGCAGCCGCTTTGGAAACTGGTATCTGGCAGTTCCTCTAATAGTTCAACACAGAGTAACCAGTATGACCCAGCTATTTTCCCAAGAAATGAAAACATGTCCACGTAGAAGCTGGTACAGGAATGTTCATACGGCAGCAGTATTCATGATGACCAAAAGGGGAAACACCCAAATGTCCATCAACCAATGAGTGGATCAACAAAACACTGTATATCCATAGTGGAATATTATTTGACCATTAAAAAAGAATAAAGTGCTGATACAGGCTACCACATAAATAAGCATCGAGAACATCATGATTTAAGAGACAGACACAAAAGACCACATACTGAATGATTTATATGAAATTTATACGAAATGTCCAAAATAGGCAAATCCAGAGTGACAGAAAGTAGATTAGCGGTTGCCTAGGGCAGGGGAGGGATGAGAATGGGGGGGTTGGAGGACCGCTAATAGGTCTGGGGTTTCTTTATGGACTGATGCATATGTTCTAAAATTGCGGTGAATATAATAAAAACCACTGAATTGGACGCTTTAGACGGGTGAATTGTATGGTATGTGAATTCTATCTCAAAAAACAGTTATAAAACAAAAAAGATTCCATTATGCACTATTAAAATACAAACAAGCCCTCAAAAAGGAGTATAGAATCTTGTTCACTCATTTTAAAGGATCCAAACTAGGGCAAAGAAAACCCAGAGAGATTCTATTACTTAAGATTCTAGGTACTGGGTCATACTGAAATATTCATGAGGATTTCCATGTTTTAATACAGAAAAGGCATCTTAAGTTGAAAAAGTCGGAGAAGTATCAGGAAACAGTTTTTATAACTCAGAAACAGGAATACATAGGGAAGTCACCAAATGAAAAACAAGCATGTATTTGTACCCTGAATATGCAAGAGGCATCCAAATTTATTACTGTTCCACCTCTGAAAAAGTCAAAGGTAAAACAGCCCAGTTAACAGTATCTGTTTCTAAAGTACCAGTTTGTGACAAATCAAAGCATTAAGAAACAATTTGCCATTATAAAGAACGGAATCTCTGCAGTCCCAGTCACATAACTGAGAGCTGGTCATTTATCCCTTTGAACATTCCATTTCACAGGCATTGGGGTGACTCTCCTCCTTATGGTTGGAGTGGATCCCGAAAGTGACAGGTGCATTTGCATTAAGTGTACAATGTGAATCAAAAAATCAAAAAAATAGACAGTGTTTAAAAACTACTCATTGTCACCCTGAACCTAATCCTAAACTATATATAAATTATTAGACATAAATGTTGACTGGCACAATCTGCAAACTAACTAATGATCATGAAAAATCCAATACTGTGTGCAGTGACAGCTCACTGGTACGTGTCTATTAAAATTCATCAGGTTTTAATGTACCTACTACAAATAATCAGAAACAACTAGGGACAAGGCACATTCTGGATTTGTCAAAAAGGTGTGTAGCCGACCTTTATACCAATCTTTGGTCAATCCTCAGTACACAAGGCTATCACCTACCACAGAACGCAGAACGTCAGGCCTAACATACAACACAATCCCCAGTTTTATTTCCCTCCCTCCCTCCGCCTATTTGCGCAACCTCTCGGACCTGAGGGTTACTCGCAGACTTCACACCCAAACGCTGTGTCTCTGAAATGTACCTCCACTCCAAAAAGAAAATTACTTTCCTAAAGTTAGTTTTCTGAAATACACAGAATCAAATCCCAAACGGATTTTTCCCCATTTCTTCAGTTTTACAGGGAATGCAGAAAGTGAAGTTCCATAAACAGATATCTGTTTGCCTCCCAAATGAGCAGACGGTACAAAGCAACTGCTTATACTTAATCATGTTTTTGTCTATTCTAGCAGGCCCTGGTGTCAGGAGAGAGTTCTGCCAGATAAGGACAATGAAATGCATTATTATATAGAGTGACTAAGAGCCCTACAAGGACTGTTTGAGAATGTAATCCCAGGCAGGAAGGCTGCGGTAAGAGGGCCTAATATTCTGTGATAACTGTAACCGCAAGAAAAGACCGTCACCACCCAGGACCAGTTTAAAACCTTGCACTATATTCCATTCTGTTTAAATGCCTTAGAGGAAAGAAAGGCCTTTGTATCCTTCTATCCTGGGGGAGACGAACAACTTGCAATTTGCTTCGCACACGGAATCCCACGTTTGCAACATGTAGAGCGAGTACTCTGGACCACAAAACAAGGGCAGCCTACGTTAAGGCCAAATATAGGATGTGATTCTAAACCATGATGCCGTAAAGCCTACGTTTCCTTTTCCAGCGATCAAAAAAAAAAAAAAAAACACCCTTTGAACGCTCCCAAAAAAGGACGGCAGGGCCAGCGCCTCGCTCCAAGAGGAAGCCCCTTTCTTCTCGGCTCTCCCTCGCAGCCTGCCACTTCCCCCAACACATTCAAATCATCGGAGAGACGGAGAGCTGGTGCGTACGCGCCTGTGTGGACAGGCGGGGAGCTGGGTTCCTGCATTTCCACCCTCCACTTCTGACCTCATCCCCAGTCATTTAGGCGCAGCGGAGCCCCACCTGCACCTCGCTCCTTTCGACTGCGTCCCTCGCCAGCTGCTCCGCTATTGGGGGAGCACATCTCTGAATCACCCGGCTCACTCTCTGACGCTCCTGCCCCCCCCCCCGACCCTGCAAGCAGCGTGCCAGCTCCGTTCTTCCTCTCCCAAACCCCCCCCGGACCCCACCCCGCCAGTCCCGGCCCTCCCAGCCCGCTGTTCCCACCGCCCGGCTCAGCCGCTTCCCAAGCCGACCCCCCCCCCCCACGTTACTCCAGCTCCAGCGGTGCCCCGCCCTTCCCGAGCCCCGAGCTAGATCTTCAGGGCCCTGAGCTGGCCTCGCACCCACAGCCAGCAGTCCTCAGGCCAGACCGCCGCCCTCGCCCCTCCCACGCAGGGCCCCAGCTTGCCCCGGCCGCGGCCAACGCCCCCCCACACTGGCTCCCCGGGGCGGCTCAAACCCCGCCCCCAGTCCCGGCCCCCCCCCCAGGCTGGGAGCCCTAGCCCCAAGCAGCCCCTCCCCACCCCAGGCCCCACCCAGCCAGGCGAGTCCCTAGCCCCTCAAATCCTTCCTCCAGCAGCCCCGTCCGCACTCGACCCGCGACTCCTCGCCCTCCGGGGGTTCTGGAGCCCTGAAAGCCTCCCCTGGGCAGCCTCCTCCCAAAGGGACCACGGTTCACTCTCCCCAGGCCAAGCCGTTCGGTCCCGAACCTCGGCCAGCAGCTCGGGCTCCAACACGCTGCACACCGGCCGGGGGAGCCCCCGCCCAAGGATCGGCGCCCCGCGCGCCCACCACGGCCCACTCCCCTCCACCGGGCCCTGCTCCACGCCCCGCCGGCTCCTGTCAGCCGGCGCCGGCACATGCTGAGAGGACCGGTCGGCCCGCCGGCTCGCCCGCGAGTGGCCCCGCCGAGCGCGCGCTGCTCACCAGGGCCGAGGTGCCTGAGGCGCCGCCGCCGCCGAAGTCCCCGCTGCAAAGCCCGGCGAAGCCTCCAACCGCTGCCGCCTCCCGCCTGGCACTGAGCGCCGTGCGGGGGAGGGGCGCGGGCAGCCACCGCCGCCACCGCCGCCGCACGCAGGCCACGCCCCCGCGCCGCGCCGCGCCCAACCAGAGGGTCCTGAGGCTGCGGAGCGCCACGCCCACTTCCGGGAGGGGAAGCCCACGTCCCACCCCTTGTTCCACGCCCCACTCTCCTTAGCGCCCCCTCTGGTCGTGCCGAGGGATGCCGGTGGGCTGCGGAGGAAGGTGGTGCCCAGGCACACCCACCGCCCACTAGTCAACTAGCCGGAGGGCCACGCCCACTGCTCCTCGGAACCGGGAGCCGCATTCTTAGAGCCCCGCCCATTGACCCGCTTGGCTCTGCGGGGCCACATCTTCCAGCTCCTCAAAGATTCCCAAAGCCCCTCCAAACCGGAACATCAGCTCCTCTGAGCCCCGCCCACTGCCCCAGCCAAACCCTTAGCCGGCCTCCTGGCTCCCCAAGCCCGCCTACTCTCCCATTGCTGCCGAACTGGCCCAACGGCGCCACAAAACTCCGCCCCGCTTCTAGAAGCCCCACCCACGGACCAGCCACCCTAGTCTCAGCATCACGCGGGCCCCGCCCACTGGCTATCTAAACCCGTAAACCTCTAAGGCCCGCCCCGAGTTCGCGAACTCCCGCCTCTGACTTCCGAAGTTCGGCTCCTGCTCCCATCGCCCCCCTCCCACCTCCGCTTCTGGGGACTGCCAGCGCTCAGGCCCGCCACTTTCCGTTGTCGCATTCCTAGCACAGGGTGGCTGTCCCTGGGCTGGGCCACACCCCTACTGGAGGAGGTCCCATCTTGACCCTATTTTGCAGGTGAGGAAATAAGAAATACAAGGTCCTTCCCTTTTTCCTGGCCAAAGCCCTTCACCCGTTTGCTTAATAACTGAGCCGCTCAGGCCAAAGAGCAGTGGATTCGAGTCCCAGCTTGGCTGCTGTTCAGACTGTGTGTCCTGGGTCAGTTCCCTTCACCTCCTCAGGCCAGAATTTCCTGATCTTTAGCGTGAAACTGTCCTGTTCATAGCCAGAGTCCCATTCTGAAATACCAAGATTTAGGGAAGCTGGACCCCAGGAACTGAATTAACAAAGCAGGCCTGTCAAGGGGTAGTTACTTCCCAAAGCAAGGCATCCTTGCAATTCACAGGAAGGGATTTTTCATTGTAAGCGTTAGCCTCAGACATGTGTGTTATGTAGATCTTGGTCCACTTTGAACCGGAAGAGCTCAAACAGCCGCTTACTTATTCTCCCTAGGCCTCTGTTTCTTTAGCAGTAAAATATAGACTGTAGCAGCCATTCGCTGGAAGGATTCCTTGAGTTTAGTAATGCACTAAGTAGGGTGTCTAACTTGTGCTGAGCCCTTCACTAATGGTACCTGTTGCTGCTATCGCTGGGCTTCAACCAAGTGGAGGGGTGAGTTTCATTTTGCCTTCAAGCAGCCACTAACAGGAGGGACTGAGCATCCCTTCCACAGCAAGACTCGGCCACTGACTTCATTTAAATGAGAGATGATGATAGTGGAGCACCTAGTGCAATGCCAGGCATTTGGTGATGCACAAAAACGTTTGGCTATTATTAGGATCCCTATTTTTAATGAAGCAAGGGCAGTGATAGTAGCAGGGTTTTGAGTGGCTTGGGGAAAATGAAGGCTGATGCAGTGCTTTGAGAAGGAACCGGAAACAAGCTGGCTTACTCTTTGGGAACAGATATTGCCAACATTTTCCATTGCTTCTATATGCCAGGCACTATCTGAGTGCTTTGAACACAAAATCTCCTGAAATCCCAACTATTCTATGGCTACAAAAAACAATTTTTTTAAAAATATTTATTTATTTTTGAGACAGGGAGAGACAGAGTGCAAGCAGGGGAGGGGCAGAGAGAGGGAGATACAGAATCTGAAACACGCTCCAGGCTCTGAGCTGTCAGCACAGAACCCGATGCGGGGCTCGAACCCAGAAACCACGAGATGATGACCTGAGCCAAAGTCAGACGCTTAACTGCCTGAGCCACCCAGGTGCCCCTACAAAAAACAATTCTTAATCCCCATCAATAGAGGTGAAGAAAATAAGAAGTGGGGCACCTGGATGGCTCAGTTGGTTGATTGATCAACTCTTGATTTCAGCTCAGGTCATGATCTCACGGTTCCTGAGTTCGAGCCCTGCATCGGGCTCTGTGCTGACAATGTGGAGCCTGCTTGGGATTCTCTCTGCCTTCCTCTCTCACTGCCCTTCCACTGCCTCTCTCTCTCTCAAACATAAATAAATAAGCTTTAAGCTTTTAAAAAAAAGTTAAATTAATTGCGCAAAGCCGCAGAGGTTGAGCCAGGCAGAGTCGATGATAGAACGCACATCCCTCTTTAAAAGCAGAATGTGCACCCTTTGCCCTTTAGCCATTACACCCAGCTGCCCCATATAGCAGCACGAAAGGTAGGAAAAACAGGGACTTTGGATCCCGGCAGACTTGGCCTTCTGTTCAAACTCCTCTACTTACCAGTTGTGTGACCTTGGGCAAGTCATTTTCCTTCCCTGAGTCTTACTCTCTTTATCTATTCAGGGAAGTTCATCCAGACGCTCTTACTTCAGGGAGGGGTTTCGAAGATTTCAGGAGTTTAGATTTAACGAACTAAGGCGTGGCAAAACGTCTGGCACAGTGCTTATCATGCAGCAGTTGTTTAAAACTTGTTGATTCACTTATCCCAGATCTTTAAAAGATGAAACTAGAAGTAAAATCTCTCACGACACCAAATTCCCCCAGATGATAACACCATAGAACAACCATGGAATACAATGAGAAAGAAGGATCTGCAGACCTTCCCCTTCCGGGTGCCTGTTTTGGTTCCTTGTTTTACCCCTGGGCTGGGAGAGGTGATTCTTGCACAAGACGCAAGGCCACAAGCAAGGCTCACCACCCCACTCCACACCTGCCCTGAATGTGGTCAGGCCAGAGCTCCTACTCCCAGAAACAGCAGGAAAATTGCATAATCCTTTGCAGGGGGAAAACTGCCCCGTCCCTGTTCTAGAAACTGCAGCAGACCCCCTTTGTGAGCCTGAAGGAAATCTTGTCTCTGCCCAAGCCGGCCCTTACGTGAAGGGACCCGGATCCAAGTGAGATGACTGGTTTTTATTATATATATATTTTTTACTGCTTATTTATGTGTTTTGAGAGTGGGGGAGGGGCAGAGAGAGAAAGAGAGAGAGAGAGAAGCAGAGAGAGAATCCCATGGAAGCTCTGAACTGTGAGCGCGGAGTGCAACACGGGCCCCAGTCCCACCATCTGTGAGATCGTGACCTGAGCCGAAAATCAAGAGTCATTCGCTAAGCCGACTGAGCCACCCAGGTGCCCCGAGATGCTGGATTTTAGAGTCTGTTGCAGTTCTCAAAGCCGGTTCCCTCTCAAGTGACCTAAGGCACATGCTAGATAACAGGGAACTTAATGATCAGGAAAAGTAAGAGTGATTCCAAACCCTACACGACACAGGTGCGAGCTCCTTGTGTGAAGAAGAAAGGATCACAACACCTACATGTGGAGACGCCTCAGCACATCATTTTTCTGGTCTCTCTTTGTACCCAATGGGGCATTAGTCTTGGGTTGCCAGGGCAACCTGGAGGCTGAGTGAATTAGCCTGGTGGAAGCATTAACAAATAATAATAATATTAAATAAATGAGAGACTGAAAACCCCTAGAGTAATCTCAGCAGGCAAGACCCCTAATTGAGTGACGGAAGAGGACAAAGCTCAGAGAGTATTAAAATTCACGCCACGTTGATAAATCTTGATTCTCACTGCTTTGATTGCTTCTTTCTGCAAACAAGGAGCTGGAAATGATTGAGCAGCTACAGATGGATTGCCTTTTTTTTTGTTCATTAAAAAATTTGTAAATGCTTATTTATGTATTTTAAGAGAGAAAGAGCGGGAGTGGGAGAGGGAGAGAGAGAATCCCAAGCAGGCTCCCAACTGTCAGCACAGAGCCCACTGCAGGGCTCTATCTCAGGAACCGTGAGATCATGACCTGAGCCAAAACCAAGAAGCAGATGCTTAACCACCCAGGTGCCCTTTAATTAAATTGTTTATTTTGAGATAATTGTAGATTCACACCCAGGTGAAAGCAACAATACAAAGAGATAGATCATATATGAACCCTTTACCTTGTTTCCCCCAGTGGTAACATCTTGCAAAATGATAGCATAATAAAACAGCCCAGACATGACATTGATACAGTCAAGATGTGAACATTTCCAAAACCACAATATCAAGTTGCCTGCTCATAGCCACACCCACTTCCCTCCTGCCCACCCCTCCTTAACTCCTGGCAACCACTCATCTGGTCTCAATTTCTCGAATTCTGTCACTTCAAGAATGACAAATGAAAATGATATACTATGCAACTTTTGGGGTTTGGCTTTTTTTAATGTTTATTTTTTATTTTTGCGATCTCACGAACCATGAGATCATGATCTGAGCCACCCAGGCACCCCGTGGGATTGGCTTTTTTCACTCAGTTTAAATTTCTGGAGATGTACCCAGGTTGTTGCATGTATGACTAGTTTGTTCTTTATTATTGCTGAATGGTATCCCATGGTATGGTTAGACCACAGTTTAACTATTCAGCCCTTGAAGGGTTGTTTCCAGTCTGGAGTGGCTTATTATTAAAAAAAAATAATAATAATAAAAAGCTGCTATATAAACATTATAAACATTCATGTACAGATTTTTGTGTGAACATAAATTTTTATTTTTCTATGAAAAAGTAATTTCCCCATAGTACCAAGGCTGGGTCATATGGTGATTGTATGTTTAGTGTTTTAAGAAACTGTCAAATAGTGTGACTGTACCATTTTACATCCCTATCAACCAGCAATCCGTAAGTGGTCCAGTTTCTCTGCATCTTCATCAGCATTTGATGTTGTCATTATCATTTTTTAGCCATTCTAATAGGAAAATAGTGATATTGTATTGTGGTTTTAATTTGCATTTCTCTGATGGCTAATGATGTTGAAATCTTTTCCTATGCTT